AAAGATCGAGAACCAGGAGATTCGTTTCGCCACGGGGGCCAAATGTCTCGGAGATCCTCGCCAAGTAAGGGAGTCAGGAATTCGAAAATATATGACGCCACGATTCCGGTGCGGTCTCCCATCGTTCAAGGGAACGGAGAGTTCTCGGGATCGTGGCATATATCCCCTATAGAAATCCCCAGCATTGACTCCGCGGGATTGAATCAAAGCGATCTGGCCACCTCGCCTCGCAATTCCCATGAGAGCACTCAGACCCACTCCGGCGAGGAGTTGTTGGAGGATACGGACATTGGCATTTCCCTCCTCAGCATAGGATTCAGGAGGACGTCGAAGGAGTTGGCTCGACCACTAGAAAGACGTGACGAGGGAGCGAGGAAAGAAGGACAGCGCACCAAGGAAAACAAAGTGTCGGCTTGCCACCTCTGTAGAAGATGGCATCCCTGGTCGAGGTCAAGAGAGGGACCCTGTGACAAAAAGCAGAGGAGTAAGGAGAAGGCTGACGCGTTCATTATGAGGTCGAGAAGCGTCGGATAGGACTGACAGAGTACAGCGAGGAGAGGGGGCTCCGTGGGGTAACTTCCATTTTATGCCTTCGACGTCCCAGGAAGAGATCGGCCGCTCATAACGGAAGCCGCATCAGGACAAAGGACTCGCAAGTGACTGTGGCCAACTGCTCCTTGCCGTACCCGCCCACGCGCAAGTCTCATTCTTTTTTCACCATCCCTCTTTCCCGCAGAAACTTTTCCCGTCGCGCTCTTCTTTTCTTCGACGTGCGTTACTCTTCATTTCCCGTCATCGTTTCGGTCTGAGTGCACGATTCGATTTGTCCCCCTGAAGAACTCCGGAATGATAAAGGATTCGAATCCGAGCCTTCGCCTACTATCATCAGATCCTTAGTCTGTGTATTCCTCTGTCTCTTGGACTTCTTCGAACATTCAGTCCCTAATGATGCATTTTCCGAGCTATCGCGGTCAAGGTGTAGCTGGATCATGGAGATTCCCCAGAGCAGACGACAGTTTCGAATGGATATTATGTAGTCGTTTCCGCTCGACGCAGACGTCCCGCAGGGAGCCCTCCCTGCCGTAGTTCGATCGCATCGGTGTATAACTGTAGACACCGAAGTCCGCGGAGTAGGAGCCAATCGAGGAAAAATGACACTGGACTTCGACAGCGGAGTTCTAAATGAAAAATCGGCGCGGCCGCATCTCCATCATCGAAGATAGTCTCCCTTCATCAGTTTTCCTCTTTCCCGTTCCTTGTCCGGGGAAACAAAATGAACATTTCGTTCACTTTGACGGATGGACCCGAGAGTAAATGAATGGATGAATAGATAGCTAAGAGGAAGGACGGGGAGGAGACAGATAGCCAAATAACGACTTAGCGACAATGGCGTCGATGGCAGAATCCCGCCTTAGATCGAACAAGCTTGTGTCGAAAACGATTCGATGAGTCGAAAGGCCATGAACCCGATTTCGTAAATTGGAAGAAACTTGCGACAGGGAATACGAGCTCATTCGGGAGGCTGATCGATTTCCCTGCGCACCTTTAGATTCCTCGTGAGTCGGGAGGGAGAATTTCCGAACGATAAAATCGTCTGCTTCACAAGTCTCAAACCCGATCGCTCTGTTGATCGTGGGGATCGTCGCGATGGGCTCTTCATGAGGGATGCTCTACACAGAGATGAGTCGACGATATGATATCGGTCCGAATTGCGGAGATTATCCTGGGCATGAAGAATTTGATGAAAAGTACCTGATTCGATTCCACCTAGATGGGCCTTGTCACGTGAGGGGTGCATCTCGAGCATCATCGCCGAGCCGATCATTGTGCAACTTTGTTGACAGGATCCTAGGTACTTATTACAATTTAGTCGAACTCGAACCTGAGTCAATGCCATCCTGAATAGCGATGTTTGCCGTCGACGGGTTTCGTGGTCTCTAGTAGCGGATGACGAAGCTGTCATCGATTTCAGGACTAAGAACCCAGAGTTTCTCTCGACCAAGACAATAAGATCACGCGATCCGGAATCTCCTTTTTTGAATGGGGCCTACATGCGGGATACAGGGGCGACTTGTTACCGGGATCGAGGATACGATAGGCCGCGTCATGCGCTTGTCATTCCGTGTTCTTGATAGTCTTCCTGGAGAGACGCATTTGCTTTCCGACTCCGTCTTCGCCGAGGCGACGCCGCGTGGCGTCTTCCTGGATGGCGACTTCATCATCACTGAGCCACGGCTCCAGCTTAATCCCGATAGGAAAACCGAAGTGAATTCGCGAGATCTCCACCAAAAAAAAGGGATGGTCACAATGGCTCGCAAGGTCCTCCCTCCGGATGCTCTCGCTTGAGCCAAGGTCTTCGCTCTCTCTGATCTATTTTGGTGCTGTTCGTTGATCTCATCGTGAAGAATCGTTCATCTGATGCTCTGATAGGTAGGTAGGTAGGCACTCCCTCCCGCAAAGAGGGGAGAGGCCATCAAAGGAGTTATACAGGTGGAAGGAGAGGAATAAGCTGATGATGTAGAGAATCATCTTTCCATATCTATTCGGAATATTAGAGCCATGCATCAGAGATCGATAGAGCTGGAAGGCCTTTTTTGTGCTCTCCCTCGGGGAATAATGCTGTGTTGAGGCTAGAGTGCGGAGCTTAATCTTCTGCCATGGAACCTGACACTCGCACAAGCTGATTCACCTTATCATATATTCGTGATGTTTCGCTCTGAAGATGTGGCGACGGAAAGTTTTGACCTGACTTGACCTGGAGGGAGCATCAAGGAGTCATATGATCAGCGGAAATGACTTTCTCCGCCGAAATCCGGAGAGCGACGAGTTCATTCGCCGTCTAGTGAGCCATCCCGGGTCACGGTCGTGACGTGGACCCGAGCACAGATTGCGGAGAAATGTGCCACCGAAACGAGAATACGTTAGTAGCGGCCATTCGAGGGAGTGGGAGTAGGGTGGCATCGCGGCGGAGCACCGAATGAACGACGCGGAACGCACAACGGGGAGCCGAATATGGATGAGAAGGAATGAAATTTGAGAAGATGGCAGTCTGATGAAGATGGCAGCCTTAGATGTGACTCTGAGAAGAGTTTCCTGTTTTCTCGGAATTTTCGTCATCGACTGGTGACAATGAGCTGCCGCATGGAGAAGTCCTAATGGTTTCGCAGGGCAAGCGAAAATAGCGGGCCTCACAGTTCGCACTATCGCTGGCCCTCCCCGGTCGCATCGGCTCCGGGTCCCCCCCTCCCTCCGCTGTCGTCCCCGGATCAGAAATGATGAATCAGCTCGTAGGTCAGAGATTCATTCCTCTCGAGGCCCCGTTCGAGAAATCCTTCCACTTGGAACGGTCGCTGAAAAGTTCGATCCTCCCTAATCACTATTTTACACAACCTCATCAATCCATTCATTTATTTTATTCAACCTGATTTTATTATCATATGTATCTACAATCAGTTGGACAACAGTTCGAACATTCAACACTCCTCAACCCCACCTCCCCCGGACTGACGAGTCTATTAATCTTTATTCCGTTGCTGTAAAAAATTGAAATCATGAGCATCGGTGGTTCGGATTTTCTCAGAAAAGAGGAATGAATATTCCTGGGGGGCCTCAATCAGATGAGTAGAAAGAAGACGGTGCTCGACAGAGTCATAGAACGAGAATCATTAATCTCATGCTTCGATGCTCTTGAGGACATGAACACCGATGTCTGACCGATGTAGGCGGAGTCAAGAGAGAACAGCTGCCGCTCCGGAAAGTCGGAACAAAACTGAACGTGAGAGCGATTTTTCCGTGGAGCGAAAAAAAGCCATCCTGAATGTTACTCATTCCTGCTCAAGTTGTTTTTCCATTCGGAGTCGTATCTTTCATGATCCTCACGCTCCGCTTCTGGTCATTAAACAGAACAAGTCATTCGACGTGTATTCACATTGGGAACATTTGTATGTACATCTCGATTTGGGACGACCGACATCTAACTTTCCCATTCGAAGCGATTCTCCGTGTATAACTTCCCTGTTTCCCGAAATGACCCAAGTGAGCCATACTCTACAGCAGGAGCTGCACAACGTAGAGCACGCACGCGGGCACGCCGCGCCGGTATGAGCTGTTCATCTAGGGGGAAGTGCCCTAATCTACGTGAGCGTTGTACGGTAGGAGGTGCTCGTTGAATAATTATAAAAAATGAACGGGGTGGTCCCCGACGACACCCCACGGTTCCGGAACACACGAGCAGCATTTCTTTTCGTCGAATTGGCACGATCAGATGCACGATCGGGTTAGCTTTGGAATCTAGAGCTCTGGAATTCCGCTTCGAGAAGACTTCTTTCGGTGTTATAGACTCCGAGATTCTCCCCTTCCCCTTTTTCCCCGCATTTTAGCTCTCGAAATCTTCAGGGAATCCGAATGTCCTCATTTCCGTACGGGGTCTTCCCGTCGGCTACTGTGATGAGTGTGACGGATCCTGATCGAGTTTGTGATGATGCTTCACAAGTTTACAACAAGATTGCAGTGCTTCCTTGGATCGGAACAGGGTGGGTTCTCGTCGTAGAATTCTCTTCCTCTTCTTTACCAGTCTACCTAATAGTTCTAGAATCGAGGTAAAGTTGCGAACTCTCCCGATGACAAAATGCGTCGGTCGTCGACAACAAAATCGATCATTGAAGGTTGCCATTGGTTTGAAAATATGTCCTGAAATTATTTGATCTCTTGCTCAACTCTCATATACATACATGCTCATCCTCGTAGAAATCTACGACCTACCACTTCGAAAAATACTCTCTCTTTCCCTCCAGAAATTTCAGCCATTCCTCAATCAACGTGTGTCTCTCGGTTCCGCTCTTACAATCATTAGTCAGACCGATACAAAGTCCGAGCCGATACTCGGTCACTCCGCATTACGGTAGCTCAGTGGTGTCCACTAGTTGGACCCGGGAACGAATCGTTCTTCTCCCTATGGGCGAGCGATTCGCTTTAATAATTTATCAATTAGTCGTAGACCCTGATGATGTCGTCGGCGCTACACGAAGATGACTTGCTTCAAGTCTCCGTGGTAACTATGACCTGGGGTCCGCCGCTCTTGTTCGAGCCGACAATGAGTTTCTCCCTGATTTCCTTGTCCTTATTCCCGTCGTCGATAGCAAGTATTGGAATCTTCGTATCCACGGTCAGTAGACCGTTCGAGTCCGTCATGGTTTTCCTCGGCAGAAGATCATTGTGTCCGACGAGCTTGCTGTTGCTGCGAGTGCTCGCACTGCGTTCTGGGGAAGAGATGAAACGTCTCACTTAGTTACTGCGTAATATGTGATACGGAACTTCTCCTCGGTAGAGAAGATAGACGTGTCGTCGTTGAACATATCGTGAGCCGCGAGGTGAGGCGTCGACGGATCAGAAGTCCCGTCTTCGAAAATGTTCTCAAGGTGGCGTGGAGGATATTTCGCCTCACCGACTGGGAGAATACCCTGCGCGAGATTGGCGAATCATTGGAGACGTCGTTCGGCATGAGCACCGATCCCGTGTCGTTTTACTGATCGATAAGCGTCCGATGAACGGGACTAATGCAGAACTGACTGCGGACATCATCTAGCGGCTGCTAAACGATTCATTTGTTGACGGCCGAACAAACGATATGTCGACGATTTGCTCGGCTGTCACCCGCGTCCGCGTGAGCCGGATCATCGAAGAAGAATATTCGATATCGAGGCGCTCCGATTGCTCGCTCTTTCTGTCGAGGAATCATGCGCGTCTGGCAACATGATCTCCACGACGAGTCCAATAGTTGCCTTCGTTCGCTGGCTGCTGTTCCCGGTCCTGTCGTCGCCATCATGTTAGTTTTGGCGGTCGAAGGGTGGTGTCGACTTGCTAGGCTCTCATTTCAGCAGTACGCTCGTTATCTCGCTGGCTCCGACACCAGTCGATTAGCCATCGGGACTCCGTACGTACCTCGCTACGATATCTTGCGAAGTCGTACGCCCCCAGACCCGCCTCGAGCCAGCTCATCAGACCCAGCTCAACTCAACGGGGTGAATGGAACGACATTCTTTGGACGACGTGGCCGCCCTTCGGATAGGACCCCCCGTCGGCACTCCAATCGCATCCGGTATCGCTTGACTCATTAGGAGTTTTGAATTTCTTCCAGACAAGCAGCTGATGCCGAGTCCACCGAAGACTTAGAACTTCCGCCTCGGGCGTTCCCTCTCGCTCATATCACTCGGAGCGAAGGAATCGTGTAACGCATTCATCCTTAGCATAATAATTCACGTCAGGTGTATACTTCGGCATATCCAGATACGTGAAAGTAGCTGGGACGCAGCGGCGCCAGGCGTAATCGATCTGCACGTCGGATTCGAGACAGGCAGGTGTCTCGCCAGCGATAGGGTCCGCAGGGAGCGATATGCTCAAAAATCCAAAGCTCTCACCCCGATAGGTGTCTCTGTCGGATAGAAACCGTCAGAAGAATAAATCATGCCTCAGGGCAATCAGAAGCAGAAGGGGCATCATCGATATCCCTCGGCGCATCTCCTCCTCTTGCCTCCTGACTGTGCCTCGCACGCCCTCGAGGTTCGCCATCACGGTTTCTTTCTCGCCACGACCGACTCGGCCCGAAAGGCTGTGGGTCCCATCGGAAGAAGCCACAATTCTCAACGCCAATGCTCCATTCCGTCTCGAAATTTCTTTCGGAAAGAGATCTCCTGCGTTCCGGCACCGACCTCTTTTTTCGCGCTGTGAAAATGGGTCGATGGCTCACCAGCATCAATAATTCTATTCTCCAATGGCATGCGTCGGAGTCGAGCGGAGAAAGTCCCTTGACTCGATATATAAAATGACTGAGGACTCGGAATCCAGCCGAAACCCACAAGAAAAATGGGTTTCCAGTTTCCTAGGAGCGGGAATCGGAATGAGAAATTCTTCGCGCCGTCGAAAGGTCGAAGCTCCGTCCCACCCCGAAGCGTCTTCGGAGGACGAGACGTACGGGGCCGCAGCACGGGCTCGCTGCGTAGAACCATTCACACGGAACTTCGGTCATGTCGCGGGGGAAAAGAGAAATCTTGTACCGCTTTTCCGTTCCGAAGTATTAAACGTCTAGCGAACTGAAACTCGGGGTCCTTGTCGCCGAAGTCTCGTTAAGATCTCAGAGTGTAAAGTTGACGTCGCTGGCTGCGGTGGCAACTTTGTTTTCGCTCGCGAGATAAAAAGTACCCTTTGACCGGTGGTCATTCTTCTTTCCCTCAGAGCGGGTGGCAGCGTACGCAGTAATCCACCCACGCCTCGGAACGAGCGAACTGGGCTTCTATTACGATCATAGCACGAAGCAACAACACTGTGAGGCGGTTGTTCGCTGAATGCCTACTTTAGACCGCCACCGCCACCACCAAGGGAGAGCCAGACATCTGAACGCAGTGGGGCGTTGCAGAGTCTGAGTCTGACCGATGTAACTTTTCGTTCGTATCGCCTCAAAACCGTACTTTCGCGTCTTTTGGTGGATCCGCCGCAGACTTTTCTCGTTTTTTCGTCCAGTGGCGAAAATGGTTCTGAAACTGTTCCGGATGGCCCGAGTCTCGCGAGGGGACCTCCTCCACATATAATACATGATGAAACCCCGCTTCCACGCAGCCGCATAAAACGAACCACTTCTAGGATGAAGACGAACTCTTTGGCTCGAGAGACGCTATTTTCGCATGCATCACGAGCGGCTGGATCTTTCGGAGGCGTGTCTGTTCATTCGCGTGCTTGCGTCGATCTGATCAAGTGTCGCTGTCCGCGAATTACTACAATGACTCATCGTGAAAATCGAAGGTTCTGTCCGAGGGAAGAGTCCACTCGAGACGACAATATTTCAGGGGAAGGCTTACTGTCGCCGCAGCTCCGAGGAAAATCTGGAATCGAGTCGGCTCCGCCTCCGAGTACCGAAGGCGGATACTTAGTCCCGGCAAATCCCGCCTCGACATTCAACAAATCCCGCGAGCAATCATCGATGGAGGAAAGGAGCACGTAGCAAGACTGGCAAATACGGGATCTCCTTTCCATCTGCGCTTTTACATCAATTATCTCGGCTGTTCGAAATCCTGCCCGGACGTCTCGTTTTCCCCGCGATTTCCTTCTTGTGTCGCTTTACCGTCCCGAAGTCGTTAGCTTCATCTCGACTTTCTCTATCAGATTACTCATCCCTCTCTGAGGTTTCCTATCCTTGACTGAAACTTCTAGACTCTCTCTCGGACCCTCTCCCCGTATGTGGGAGCTTCTCGCATCATCTCTGAGATCTTGTATCTCTCATTTCTCTCGGTGCTCAATAACCGAAACGTCCGGACCTGCACAGGCATTTTGGGAATCGAGCACTCTCGAAGAAACTAAGGACTAGAAAAGGGTCGAGAAACATACCCTTACGAGCATCCCCGCTTGGGAAATAATTCAACGTGGCCCCTTTCTAGAGAAAATCGTCCCCTTACGCGAAAATCAAAGCCTCTTCGACTCACCTAGCATACTAGCGTTGGCATTGTACGCGTGCTGGGCGCTCGGACTCCGACTCGGTCCGAATGAGCCCCGAGTTGAGCCACTGCGATTTATGCCGGCGTGATTAAAAAGACTTGTCGTGAACGATTGATCCTCGGCACGTGATCCGCAGCAACAATTTGAACAGCAACGCGCGAACGTGTCGCGCATAGCTTGCCGGAACTTCAGAGACAGGATCTGCAATAAAAAACCTTTTTGTAAATAGTGATCACGAGAGCGAGAGAGAGAGTGTGTGACCGATTTTCGAGTTCGTCAGCCGCCACGTGAAGCCCACGAAGAGGTCACGTGTCGGCGGGACGACGCTCTGTGAGAATTGCAACCTTCGTCCGTGGCATTCCTCGCAGAAGAAAAAAGTTCCCTGAGAACTAATATTCTCTGCAACTCCCACCCAGTCAGAGTTTCTAAGAAGTCGTTATTTATTGATCCGGAAGTGAGCCCAGACATCTCATACAATCGCTTTTTCATTCGGGAGTCGGTCACGTCATTCGATTTCTATGAGAACGGACTTCCGGAAGTCGAGACAGAAGGCAACTGATATAGAGAGTGTCCGAAATGGTACGACGAGCGGTCGCGATATTACGGGAACTCGTCATGTCTAGACATCTGTAGACCATACAGATCCCGAGAGCACATCTTGCCATCAAGTTGGGCGGAAACTTCTTGTCGCCTCCACCGACGAGTCCCCAGAGTGGAGAGCAGCTTTCCGAACAGCGCGGTCTCACAACAACTTCGGCTGAACTTCACTCTCTGACTCAGTCCGTCCCTCGACTCGCTCTTCAACATCATATAGGATATCTATCGCTCCATCTTGATCCACATGCTTGGAACCAAAACACAAAAGTTCCGCCGTACAATCCATGCAAGAAATGCGATCTCCGATGTATCGACCCCTCTAGGAGCATCGCTAAAAAATCCTAAATAATCCTCGGCTGTCGGGTCTCCCTCCGAGCTCCCGTCCCACGGCTCGGGAATCCGCTGACTGCTCCGACGGCTGTTACAACGAACATTCCGGAGAGTTTGTCAAGTGTTCCCGATAGATAGTCGCGTTTAGCGTCGAGAGGACAGCGAGTCGATCTCCAATTTTTCTTTCCCTTCCGAGAAGAAAACTTAATATGGGGAAGAGTGCTTTCATCGACTCGGATCCACAGAAGACTTGTTGCTGTCCGCTTGAGCATTCCCTCTATGACGTGATTGCTGCGGTCGGATGACGGATGCGGCCGGAGGGAGGGCCGGAACAGCGGATTTCGAAGGAACGTTTGGAATGAGGTTTTTGGCGGATAACTCCGCCAATAGAACTTCAAAGGAAATGTTTCCCACAGCGGAGGCTCTCGCAGCCGAGGGATGTGAGCTGGAGAATCATGCTACTTTCAGCCGGAAGGGAATTCGAAAGAGAAATGTCGGGTCTCGACGGAGAGTTTTGGTCAGATTATTATCTTTGACTGGTCGAAGGATCGGTACTCACTTGATACAGAATCGGGTTGGCGGTCGCGCTGAGGTAGTACGAAATGCCGGACACGTGGTTGAGGATTATGTATAGTGCTAATAACTGCTTGTTGTATTCTTCGGTCGGGTCTTGCGACATCGATGCTGCCAACGATTGAGCCCATACTCTTTGAACGTGGAACGGTGTCCAGCAGACGAAAAACGATATCACCACAGCAACTGCAAATAAAAAAGATAAGGTCATTGGAATGAATGTGAGAGATTTTTTTCTCGTTCCAATCCTGACTCGGGACGAGGCAAGCGCAATTCTTCCAACCCAAACCCCCACCTACGAACCAACTGTATTTTCAGTGTCTACTGAGCTCGGACTCTAAGCAGCCGGGGCGTGTCCGAGATTTTTTTCTAAAGGCCAGCATGGGTTTTGCGGTGGACTGAGCTGGGAGGCCTTCTCGGAGGCCTATTCTTCAGCGTTGAGAACAAGTAGCAGTCCCGTCGCGTCGGGCGGATGGGCCATCGACCCTTGACGCCCTCTGCCGCATCCTAACCCGCGTGGCATTCTCGGATCTGACTGATCGATAGGGTACGAGAATGTCAATTCCCAGACCTATTCAGCTATATTTTTGATTTTCGTGCAGAATCGCGATATGCAGCTAAGCGAACAGAAGAGCGTGCACGATGAACACGACGTGGACTCGAGAATCGATCAGTTGTCCGTGGGGCGTTTTCACAGGAGCCGAAAGATGGATTGAATGACGGCAGGAACCGCCATCCTGCGCTTATGAGCCTATCGTGAGTTATTGCCTCGACAAGAGGAGAGGAACCGCCGCGCGCCGTTTGTTCGACCGCTCCACTGGACTAATTGTCGATGTCGATCGCATTCAATGAGACCGTCTGAATCTCTCTATTTTCAGTCTCGTTGTGATCGCAGATACCTTGTTTATCTGGCCTCTGTGCGATATGCTCGATACGATTCGGATTTGTTGTTTCCAGCGTTGTGCACCCCACGAGCGTGTCCTTTGTGAGGCCCCTCAACAGAAGGCTGTGGCATGTCTGTGGCGCAACGCCTGGGCTTCAATCACCATAGCCATGCAAGCCTCTCTTATTCATTCAATTCAGGAACTCTCCCCGATCTCCGTCCCTCGATTTCCGAATCACCTCGATTCGTAAGGTACATTGGGAAAGGAGGGATCTACAAACTTCGCACTCAGAGTTTCCGTCTCCTCGCGCATTCGCGGGCGTATGCTGTACACGAATCCTTCTGAAACATTAGTATGTTCCAAGCGAGGAGAAGTGTAGGCGCCGAAGGTTCACTTCTGGTGAATACGAGACGTGATAAAGAGCTCAAGACGTGTACGTGTTTATCTGTGAGAGGATTACAGAAAGGCCGCAAGAGACTCTTCGTCGTCGCAGTTGCCGTGCCGCCACCTCCATCCCCACATCGTAACTACAGCGAGCGGTCACAGCTCCGCTCACAGGTACGCGCACATCAGCTTCGGATACGGGCTTCAGAAGCGGCGCGGCGTCACTCGTCTCTCCCAATCACTTCAATCACACCTCGTCACTCTATAAGAATCGAAGCTGCACAAACTCCGACAACTGCATGTGCGCGTGCACCACTGAGGAACTTTCGCAAGACTCCTCGATTGTGCGCTTCTTCCGGCATACCGAGACGCTCTCAAAACGAGAAGGTATCCGAGTTCGACGTTCCGGACTCCGGGCTTGTTCCCCTCTCAGGCTCTTGCATTGCCGAAGGTCTCATAGGGACTGGCTTCTATCAACCTGCTGACGGGAAGCTGACTGCTCACCTCTACAATACAGGTTCTATGTGGTAGCTTAAGCAACTTGTAATGGGATGTCGAGATGGCCCCGCAGGCCGACTCCGAGGGAACAAGAGGATTTGGCTCAGCGAAAAGCTGTCATCTCGCTTCGCTATTTCGAAACGTCTTTTGTATCGCTGTCAACGTCCACACAAAGTAAAAGTCGGGCTCCGCCGAACTTGCACACCAAATACAGCGTTGCTGCGGGGTGACAGTAGTTCTAGCGGGTGGGCGGGAGGACGGGCGGTCGGACGGACGGACGGGCGAACGATTCCAAGCGACCAAATGACAGCCTGTCCGTGAGGTTGTCGGGCGAGAGACATCAAATGAGCACGGTTTCGCTTCATTTCAACTCTTCACTGCTCTCGCGCCTCGGGGAATCCATTCGCCTCGGAGAACTCCCCACTAGTCTCGATTTTCGACGTCCCGGTCCCCTCGAGCGTAGGTGGGCCTCAGGGAGAAGGGAACGATGAACATTCCGAAAAATCCCGGAATCGGACGGAAAATACCGTTCCCTCCGAGCTTTTCCTTCGCCAGCCATCACCTCCTTCGGTATTCTGATGATGACCACCGCTGAGAGGTCTGATCGGTCCCAGTGGGCTCCGACTCACTTTGTTACGGCGCCGACGGTGCAGTTCCCCACTGAGACGGGTCCTCCTGTGTTTTTCCTATTGTTGAGCCAACACATCTAGTTCCACGAGTGAGTCCAGGCAGCTACACTGACAAATTGCAGGAAAGATTTACGCGAACTAGACAGACGTGTTCTCCGGGTGGGACGTGCGAAATTCCAGATTCTCCTACTTCGCTCCGTTCTTCCGAACAGCTCCCGGCAATGTCGTCATTCGACCAAACCACCGGTAGAGTCACGGAATCAGCAGACTTCGTGGAAACCAGTCGTGTCCGACTGGCATTACTATGAAGGAAAATCGGGGGTTCGAGCGACGTGACGAGCGGGAGCGTAAGCTGCGTTAAACAAAAAAAAACTGATCAAGCCGAACGGAAATTAAGGACTCGGCCCAAACTAGCGACTTCGATTCGAAACGATGCCACTCGCGAATTGTCGGAAATGACAAGGTGCCCGTATTCCAAATCGTAATCACCGAAGACTCGCGAATGCGATAATCTGCTCGGCGCCTGCGTCAATTAGCGCTACCAGCGTATACGGAGCACTGCGGCGGCTACACGCTCAGAAATCACGTGAATCAGCGCAAGACCGATCGATGTCGGAGCTGAACGTTGTCAAGCGAGAACCAGTCTGAATATCGTATCGTTCGTCCTTGATACGACATCCGCGTCCGATCATCCGCGTCGTGCTCGCCGAGCTCGCAATGATTAGAATCGGGCAGATGTGCTCCCTGGTGAAAAATGCACACAGAGTCTCCGCAGACGTGTGGAAGTCAATGTTTCGAAAGTTTCGCTTAGCCCCTATCGATCCGCGAGCCAGCAGCAGCAGCAGCGGCGATGATCGATTCGAGATACTCACGAACACTCATGAAAGATGAGAAAAAACCTCCTCGAGAGCTTCGATCTCGAAGTTAATGGTTCTCGAAGGCGTTGAGGTCCAGCTCGGCCGAGAGGGTGTTGCCAAGCTGGCGGGAACTCCGCGAGCGTTGGCTCAATAGGTTTTTTTCTTGTAGCCAGAGGTCAGTATCCGATTTTTTCTCAATGCGGAAGCGCGGAAAAAGAGAAGACCTCGCTCGCGATATTCCTCGCAGAGGTTGATGGTCTCGATGCTTGGCTCCGGGACCCGAGGGAGCGCGCGTAACGTAGGCGAAACATAGGAAGGTGACACGCTGGGAAGGGAGGAAGCTCTCTCTGACGTTGAAAAAAAACTATCTGACGGACTGACGGAAAGGTCGGTCGGTCGGCTGGTAGACTGGGCAAGTAACAGACTATCGGAGTTGAAGAGCAACCCTCAGACGGCTCTTCGCCTGAGTGTGCGAATGAATAAATGAGTGTCCCCGGGTCAGCAGATCTGATGAATGTTTCCGTCAGACTGGATAGTATCCGTCGAAGTCGAGACCTCTTCGGAGCGTTTTCATAGAGTAGGAGGATGAAAGGACAAGATGTGTGGGATAAAAATACTTGAAGCGACAATGGCTTCCGTGAACCTCGGCCGTCGACGCAGAGACAGCTCGATGCCTGTCTCGGGGATCCGCGGGCATATATGGCGTAAAACGCTGTTCGCAAAATCCCCGCTCGAGTGACCTCGTTAGGAATGGGGCTCCTACGTGAGCGAATGTTATGGAACACTCGGGCGATGTTCAATACAATCGCTCCGCTCACAGTCCGATAATAATCGGCGGCAGGACAGAAACATGTTCACCTGACTGCATACCCAGTCTTGGAGGAATCACAGCTTGGCAGCGCTTCTTTGCCGGCTTGGGGTGGGTGGTTGCAATTGGCTCCTTACGAGCTTGACGTCCTCAACCGGATCTATCCATCACTTACAACGTCACTAGCCTCCGCTTGCACCCGATGATTCCTTCATCGGGACCTAATGAGAGCCCGGAGATCAGTTGTCGGCACGACGCCTCCTCCGACATCAGATGGGTACTAGGTTCTCTATTTAAGGAGGGAGTTCATCGAGAACGACTCGCCACTGCCGCTCACCCTGGCATACTGTCTCTCGGGAGCACTTTCCGCATATGACAGGTTGCGGAAGTTTCTGTTACGCTCAGAAATACCTATTTTACGCGTTCGACGATTTTCACAGATAACACTCAGCTGACGTTCGTCGTACTACTCGCGGTTCAGCCGAGGGAAGTTCAGTCTCGGGAGGTGGACGCTGCTATTCACATTTCCCTTGGGGAAAAGTCATTTCTCGGCATACTCTGCCTAGACTCGCTCATCCGTCCTTCTCCTGTTGAAATTTTCTCTCGTGGAGAAATTGTTCGGGAGGTCTCTCGTGGTAAGTGGCCGCTCCTTGGTCCTCCTGACATAAGACTTCCAATTTTATGAACCGCACGATCCGGTTGAGGCACCCCACGATATTTTCCATCCTCCATTTTCCCTCTCCTCTTTTCCACAGACAGCGAGTGTGCCGCTTTGGGAAATCCCCCAATCGGAGCCGAAAGTCGATTCATTGTGGTGATGCCGGTACAATTTTTCTCCTTTCTCGAGCGGTTGAATGTTGCGTCTTCGGTCGGAAGCGCAAACCGCTCGCTCGATCGAACTCCAATTTGAGCCCGGCGAACCGAGCGTTTCTGATTCAGACGTCGTCGGCGTATCATGACGCCGACCGCGGAATAAAGGAAGCGTACATCGATTTTCTGCGCCTCTTCCGCCTATCGTCCTGCAGCAATCAGCTATATGCTAGAATACGGCACGGAGTCTGAATCTCTTCAGGAGAACTCGAAGCGTTGATCGCTCCGGCAAGTCTTCTGCCGCGGAAAAGGTACC